CTTGTTTTGTCGCATCGGGTTTGTGTTCTAAGAACATTGTTTTTGTTATTCGAGCATTTTGGGGTTCTCAGAACATTTCGTGGTCGGACTATAGGAATGCCAGGACGATCGGGCCCTGCTCAAACTAATGGGGAGGTATCATGATGATTGCATGTTCCATACGCAATCACTCAGCATTCTGGTAACATAACTGTTGCATCCGCATTTCTGAAGAAATGATTACTGTTGATCACTTCCTCCGGTGCTCATGGTGATTTTTCATTCGCAGACTCCCCCTGGATCGCACCCTCCTTTTCACCAGGGAACGTCTCGATGCTCAAACTGGGTTGTTGTGCCCTGGGCTGCAACAGCAACAGCAACAACAGCAACAACAGCAACAACAGTCGCGCTCTTGACGCCCAGGGTTCGCGCTCCTACGGGGCATGTCCTCACAACTTGATCTGGAATCTTGCTCTCGCCCGAGGCTTCAGCGCAATTCACACACGTCAGCGTCCTTCCTTAACCCGCCCTGTTGGCTCTGGCCGCCCGGCCCCGCCCGTGCGGGTCCGCCGCTTCGCCGGCTTGGCAGCCCGCCCGCCCGCTTGACTGCCCCGCCCGACCCGCCCGTTGGGGTCCGCCTGTCAGACCCGCTCGTTGGGGCCCGCTCGCCCGACCCGCTTGTTAGGGTCCGCCCGCCCGACCTGCCCTTCACCAGTCTGGGAAGGGCCCCCCCCTCACCAGTTCAGAGGGGGATCTAGGGAGAGAGGCAGAGGGAGAGAGAGAGGGAGAGAGAGAGAGAGAGAGGGAGAGAGAGAGAGAGAGAGCCAGAGAAGAAAGCCATGCATGTTCGGACCCTGGTGCCATCACCTGTACGCCCGCTGAAATGCCCGACATGCCCAGCCTGCACATCATGGCCCGCCCGACCGACCGGAGCGGCAGGGCCCGCCCCCCCAATCTTTCCGCTCCTCTCTTTTTCCCCTCCTTTTTTTTCCTCCTGACTCTGTTCTGTCCTCCACCCTCCTCCCCTCCTCGTGCCTCCCTCCTTCCTGCTCCCTTTCCTCCTCCCTTCCTCACTCTCTCCCATTTTCTGTTCTCCCTCCTCGTCTTGTTTCAGGGGCCACGCCAGCCACACGTGGCAGGCAAGGAAGACATACTTACCCCCCAAGGGGGTACAAACGAAGACGAGGAGGGCGGTATCAACGAGGGTTCGGTGGTATACGTGTTGATGGGGTGCGCGAGCAGCGAGGATCAAACAGTTACAGAATGATGAAATTCTCATTTCTGAAAAATAGTTATTGTTGGTCCCCCCTCGCCGGTGCCCATTGCTCTTTTTGGTGGAATAGCCAGGGGCAGTCCTGATGCTCGAAGCGTGTCGCTGGTCCCATGTTGACAATATCAGTGACTCCCGACTGATACTTCCTCACAATTTCTTCACCATCGCGCTCTCGCGCTGGTTTTCCTTGCGAATCACAGTGATCGCGCTTACGCTTGGAACTTGCTCGGAATTTATGCAGGCGCCGCGCCCTCAACGTCGAGGAACAGCGTTCTCGCACGAGATTTCAATAAGTTTACTCTGTCATCGTGCGCTTGCCTGAAGCTTCTCCGCTATTTCGTCGCACCGCCCCTTGCGGTCCGCCCGTCCGACCAGCCCGTTAGAGTCCGCCCGTCCGACCCGCCCATTTGGGTCTGCCCGTTCACCTGCTTGGAGGCCCGCCCGCCCGTTTCAGTGCTCCGCCCGACTCGCCCGTTAGGGTTCGTCCGCCCGACCCGCTCGATGGAGTCCGTCCGCCGGACCCGCCCATCAGGATCCGCCCGCGTTTGCCAATTTTCGAGAGGCTTTCGCCACTCCGCCTACCGCCAGCCGGAGTGAGGAGCCCGTGGAATTGCTAGGGCGAGTCACGGTGCACAATGCTGTGCCCACATGCGAGGGACGCAGTAAAATGGGGTCGACTGCGCCGACGTTCGCGCGTCAGCTGTCCGCGTAAGGTCGCGCGTAGGCGCCCTCGTTTCAAATGTAACGTGCCGCGCTGGCGGCCCGCGTACTTCCGTCGTCGTGGTCGTCGTCTTCCGTCGTCTGCGTCGTCATCGTAGTCGTTGTCGTCGTCGTCGTTGTCCGTCGTCGGCGTCGGCGTCGGCGTCTGCGTTATCGTGGTCGTCGTCGTCGTCGTCGTCGTTGTCGTCGTCGTCGTGGTCGTGGTCGTCGTCGTCGTCGTCGTCCAATCCCCATCCCATCTGGCGGGGGGCTGTGAGCCCTTGACCTGGGATCATACATGCTGAGTGACAGGCGAACAACGAAGAGCGAGCATTCTTAAACTGATTGTAGTTGAGTTCTCATTTCTAAGGAATAAGTACTGTTGATCCCCCCTCCAGTAACCATATCTCCACCAGCCCATCCAGCCCATCCAGAAACGATGCCCATGAGAGCTGATGGGGGGCGAGAGGAAGAGACACGCATAGTCAAACAGCGAGGGAGGCCGGCCTGGACGGCGTGTTGGGGCCATCTCTGGGCCCGCGTGGGGGGGAGGGCGAAGAGGAGGAGGAGGAGGAGAATGAGGAGGAGGAGGAGGAGGAGGAAGAGGAGGGAGAGGAGGAGCGAGGAGGCAAGAGGAGCAAGACGAGGAGAAGGAGGACGAGGATGAGGAGGACGAGGAATAGGAGAGTGAGGAGGAGGAGGAGGAGGAGGAAGGGGAGGGGGAGGAGGAGGATCAGGAGGAGGAGGAGGAGGAGGAGGAGGAAGAAGAAGAAGACGACGAGGGGGAGGATGATAACGAGGAGGAGGAGGAGGAGGATGAGAGGGATGCGGAGGAGGAGGAGGATGAAAATGACGAGGACGAGGACGAATGATATAGACGAGAACGAGAGGACGAGGAGCTGGAGGAGGATAAACAGGAGGAAGAGGAGGAGGAGGAGGAGGAGGACAAGGACGAGGAGGTCGACGAGGATGAGGAGGAGGAGGGGGACGAGGACGAGGAAGACGAGGAGGAGGACGAGGACGAGACGCCGTCTGGCGTGCCTCGGGTGAGCTTCTTGGGCCTCTTGGGTGGCCGCTCCGGGGTCTCTTGGGTGCCTCTCGGGTGCCTCTTGGAGGCCTCTTGTGGCTTCTTGGGGCGCTCTTGTAGCTCTCTTGGGGGCCCCTTGGGAGCCCTGGAGGGCCTCTCTCTTGGTGCCATCTTGAAGGCGGTCGGTCGGGGTCCTCGATGCTTGCCCCCCCCTCGGGGGCCGCGATCCTCGTGAGGGGTGTCAAACATTGGCCCTCCCACTGGCCGAACAAGAACCCTCTGACACATCGGTCCCCCTCCCAAAAAACCCAAGGGAGGGGAGGGGGAGGGTTCACCTCCCCGAGGGGAAGAGGGGTTGTGGAGATCACCCTTAGACCACCTGTCGCCAAACGGACTGGTGGGATTCAAGTGCTTCTCCTGGGGCTCGCACCCGTTTTTTCGTTTACACGGGAAAGTGAAGTGTCACCAAATTGTGTCCCTGGCCCCAGGTGTACAACAACAACGGCTCCCGCCAGATATTTCCTCACAGCTTGTTCCTAAATCGTGTTCTCGCGCGGGATGTCCTCACAATTTGTACTGGAACCGCGCTCTCGCGTGGGACTCGCAATTTATTCAGACGCCGCGCCCTCGACACTCAGGAATCACGCTCTCGATGTGGATTTCCTAGCAATTTATTTGGGAATCGCGCTATCGCTCGAGACTTCCTCGCTATTGATGCAGGACGTACCCTTTAGCAACCCGCCTGCCCCTTGTCCCTTCCCTCCATCCGTCCTCTCTTCCCCTGCCTTAGGGGCTGTACGACATATACGTTGCAAGAAGCAAGATATAACCCTAAGGGAGTACGATCGAAGACGAAGAGTGCGTGTGTCGAGGGTTCGGGATGTACGTGTTGAATGGCACGCGAGCAGATAAGAGCGAGCAGTCTCAAACTTGTTGTTGCTGTGGTGGTTGCTGTTGCTGTTGCTGTTGCTGTTGCTGTTGTTAGTGTTGTTGTTGCTGTGGTTATTTTTGTTGTAGTTGTTGTGGCTGTTGTTGTTGCTGTTGTTGTTGTTGTTGTGGTTGTTGTTGTTTTTGTTGTTGTTCTTGTTGGTACTGTTATTGTGGTTGTTGTTGTTGGTGTTGTTGGTGTTGTTGTGCTTGTTGTTGTTGATGGTGTTGTTGTTGTTGTTGTTGTTGTTGTTGTTGTTGTTGTTGTTGTTGTTGTTGTTGTTGTTGTAGTTGTTTTTCTTATTGTTGTTGTTGTGGTCGTTGTTGTTGTTGTTGTTGTTGTTGTTGTTGTTGTGGTCGTTGTTGCTGTGGCTGTTGCTGTTTTGTTGCTGTTGTTGTGGTTGTCGTTGTTGTTTTAATGTCGACCTTCAAGGGTCTGGGATTGTTGTGGAGGTTTCTTGAAGCCGCGGTCCTGCCGTGAGGGCAGTTGTGGGACAGCCGTGAGGGCAGTTGTGGGACAGCCTTTCTTCTCATTGATCCGTCGGCCTTCTCAGCACTCGACCTCCTGCCCAGGACTGCTCTTTCACATCCTTTTGTTTTCTGACCGTCCCGGGGCCCGAGAGCGACACTTGTTAGGCCGAAATCGAGGAACCGCGGCAGGATCGAACAAAGAGCCCATGGGGAGGTCATTGCCTCTGGAGATCTCCGGAGGGCTCTCCGAGGCCCCCAGAGGCCTGGGGATGCTTCGGGATCCCCCCCGGAGGCTCAGAGTGCGAGCGCAGAGGCGGCCTGGATCTATGATCCTCGGGCCTCGGCCCCGCCGGAGGAGGAGGAGGAGGAGGAGGAGGAGGAGGAGGAGGAGGAGGAGGAGGAGGAGGAGGAGGAGGAGGAGGAGTAGGAGAGGGAGGAGGAGGACAGGAGGGGGAGGGGACGGGGGAGGAGGATGAGGATGAGAGGATTAGAGGAGGAGGAGGAGGAGGAGGACGAGGAGGGAGGAGGAGGAGGAGGAGGGAGGACGAGGAGGAAGGGGAGGAGAGAGAGGAGGAGAAGGAGGGATAGGAGGAATAGGGTGTTGGGTCGCGGCTGGCGGAAGATCACTTTCGATGCCCAGCGGTACCCATAGCAGCTAGTGATGAGCGGCGCGCTGTGGGAGCACAGGATCAAACTGCGGGGCCCGCGACGCGCAGGGGGGAGGGGGAGGACGAGTACTCCCTGCGTCCCCCAGGGGGGGGGCGGCGGAACCTCACCGACCGCTCCCAGCTACTTCGTGGGCATCGCCTTCTTGACTATCGGTGGTCGAGGAAGGGTCTCTCGTCGAGTGCATGTTTCTGTACCTTGTGGCCAGCGTGCTGATGGTACTGTTCGTATGGCTTGTAATTCAGTGCTGGGTGGCGAGTTGCTACCCACCTGTGCAGCCGCTTGGTGATTGTCCCTGCCGCAGCTGGCCAGACGTGTCTGTGTTGCAGAGGGCATGGAGGAGGACATCTCGACAGTGGCCGGCGAGACGGTCTTCGAGTCGGTGGTTCGCTTCGAATGCCAGAGCAGTCTCAGGCGCCCCGTCTGCCGTCGTTGGGTGCCTGGCCGTTGGGGCCCTCTCGGCTCTGGCGAACGGGGGAGGGCGTCCCCTCGGCCCGTCCGCGGCGTCGGCCCTAAGGGCGTAGCTCCTGTTTGGTGCTTGGGCCGTGGGGCTCCGCCAGGTGCTGCGCTGAGGGGTGCAGCCTTAAGTCGGGCCTGTCCCTCTACGGGAGGAGTATGCAAACATAGTCAAAACAAAGTCATTTTATACTATGTCCCTACCTAGGCTCTGCCTAGAAGGGTTCTTACTCGGAAGCTTAAAGGGCCGGGCAGTGGGGCCCGCCCCGGGCGGTTCCCCCGGCATCCGCCCCGCGGTTCCCCCAGGTGCGCCCCCTGGGTTCACCCAGTTTAGCTTAGCTTAGCTTAGCTTATCTCATCTTAGCGTAGCTTAGCTTAGCTTAGCTTTGCCTAGCCTAGCTTGGCTTGGCGTAGTTTAGCTTAGCTTAGTTTAGCTTATATCATCATAGCTTAGCTTAGCTTAACTTAGCTTAGCTTGGCTTAGCTTAGCTTAAGCCTAGCCTAGCTTAGCTTAGCTTGGCTTAGCCTAGCTTAGCAAGCGCAGCGCAGTACAGCGCAGCATGAACACATCATATCATATCATAGCATAGCCACGCATAATATAGCATATCATACCATATCAGAGCTCGGTATATCATATCATAACATAGCATAGCATAGCATAGCATAGCGCAGCATAGCATAGCACAGCATATCATAGTATTGCTTACCATAGCACAGCGCAGCCTATCATATCATATCATATCATAGCACATCGCATTACACCACATCATATCATATCATAGCAGATCATAGCGCATCATATCATAGCATATCATATTATATAATAACATACCATCTCACATCATAGCATAACTCAGTATACCATAACACATCATATCATAGTATTGCTTACCATAGCGCAGTGCATCATATCATATCATAACAACGCACATCACATCCCATCATACCATAACACATCATAGCATATCATATACTCGCGCATCATATCATATCATAGCATAGCATAGCATAGCATAGCATCGCGCAGCATCGCATATCATATCATAACCTAGAACAGCACAGCATAGTGTAGCATAGCATAACATAGCATAGCATAGCGCAGCACAGCATCCATTATTGCTGCTGCTAATGTTGCTTTCCTAGAGGATCCAACTCCTAGGTAGGGTCGCACTGGGATATTTTTTTGTGTTTGGGGCATTTGTGTTTGGACAATGTTTAAGCTTTCCTCCAAAATCCCCCTGTAGGGGGACAGGCCCCATTTAAATGTAGCCACGGGCTAACCAAGGTGGGTGGTCGTCGCTCACGTTTTGCCGTCATGGACTGGGCCTTCCGTGTCGTGTTCGTGGAGATGGCTGTTCTATGCGGGCATGGGAAGCCCGTGTCAAACATGTACTGGGACTTCCAGGCGAGGGTCGTGGAGGTGCTGTGTCTGCCGGGCATGGGAGGCCCAGAGTCTTCAGGCATGTCTGGCCCTTCGATGGCCTGCTCGCCGCGGCTTTTTGCCGATGGCGGGCTTGGCACCCCCTGTGCTGTTGTTCTGTGCTGGGTCTTCTCGCCTGTGCTCGTGGAGGTGCTCTTTTTTCTGTGGGCATGGGAAGCCCAGTCTCACTCAACATGTACCGGGTCTTCGGCGTTGTGCTCGTGGAGGTGGTTAGTTCTGCGGGCATGGGAAGCCCAGTTCATCAAACATGTGCTGGGTCTTCGGCCTGGTGCCCGAGGAGGTGGTCTGTCTCTTGGGCATGGAGGAGCTCTTCATGGAGGAGCTCAAACATGGAGGAGCTCTTCATGGACGAGTCGCTGGGCTGAGCTGCGCCCGCCGCCGCTGCGGCGCGGGAGCTGAACATGAACTGGCGGCGTCCGAGTGCCCCCGCACTCGGCCGCCCACGATGGAAATCTGGAAATGAGGAGGAGGAGGAAGAGGAGGAAAAGGATGGGAAACAGGAGGAGGAGGAAGAGGAGGAGGAGGAGGAGGAGGGAGAGGAGGGAGAGGAGTGAGGAGGTGGAGGAGGAGGTTAGGGAGTGGAGGAGTAGATGAGGAGGAGGAGGAGGAGGGAGAGGAGGGATGCTGATGTTGTTGATGCTGGTGATGGTGATAATGATGCTGATGGTGGTGGTGACGATGATACTGGTGATGATGATGATGATGATGATGATGATGATGATGATGATGATGATGATGATGATGATGATGATGATGATGATGATGATGATGATGAGGTGATGCTGCTGATGAT